AAAATATATTAAAATGAAAATTTAACCAAGACCTAGCACAGTGGACCATGTTTTTTCTAATGATTAAATGAATAATTCGTTATCATTTTTTGGCTCTGTCAGTCATTTCAAGTGAAAACATGTTTCAACAGCTCGCAGACAAAAACTAAATATCTTCAAAGCGAAAACACATGTCCTGAACATTAAATGAATAATCTAATATTTTCTTATGGCTCTGTGCGGGCCAGTTCTATTATGAATAAAATATCATCCTGGAGGCCAAGATAATTCATTTGTGGTCCCCGGGCTTGACTTTGACACTATTATTTGAGTGATTAACAATTTAGAACCAACTTTATGTACAGTGCCTTGCGAAAGTATTCGGCCCCCTTGAACCTTTCAACATTTCGACATATTTCAGGCTTCAAACATAAAGATATAAAATTTAAATTTTTTGTCATGAATCGACAAGTGGGACACAATTGTGAAGTGGAACAAAATGTATTGGATAATTTAAACTTTTTTAACAAATAAAAAACTAAAAAGTGGGGCGTGCAATATTATTCGGCCCCTTTACTTTCAGTGCAGCAAACTCACTCCAGAAGTTCAGTGAGGATCTTTGAATGATCCAATGTTGTCCTAAATGACTGATGATGATAAATAGAATGCACCTATAATCAAGTCTCCGTATAAATGCACCTGCTCTTTGATAGTCTCAGGGTTCTGTTTAAAGCGCAGAGAGAACCATGAAGACAAAGGAACACACCAGGCAGGTCCGAGATACTGTTGTGGAGAAGTTTAAAGCTGGATTTGGATACAAAAAGATTTCCCAAGCTTTAAACATCTCAAGGAGCACTGTGCAAGCAATTATATTGAAAAGGAAGGAGTATCAGACCACTGCAAATCTACCAAGACCCGGCCGTCCCTCCAAACTTTCATCTCAAACAAGGAGAAGACTGATCAGAGATGCAGCCAAGAGGCCCATGATCACTCTGGAAGAACTGCAGATAACTAGAGCTGAGGTGGGAGAGTCTGTCCATAGGACAACAATCAGTCGTGCACTGGTGTTAGAATGGCCAAGTCAAAGTCCAGACCTGAATCCAATCGAGAATCTGTGGAAAGAGCTGAAGACTGCTGTTCACAAACGCTCTCCATCCAACCTCACTGAGCTCGAGCTGTTTTGCAAGGAAGAATGGGCAAGAATTCCAGTCTCTCGATGTGCAAAACTGATAGAGACATACCCCAAGCGACTTGCAGCTGTAATTGCAGCAAAAGGTGGCGCTACAAAGTATTAGCGCAAGGGGGCCTCTGTTTACATACCGCCATGCGCGGACGCGCGCGAGGCTCAGCGCGCACTCGCAGAGCAAGTACTGTGTATGGAACGCTTATACCCGGACTCTCTGATTATTATCCTGGGGGATTTTAATAAGGGAAACTTGAGCCAGGAATTACCCAAATACAGACAGTTTATCAAATGCCCGACCAGAGAGGAGAACACTCTGGATCACTGTTACACCACCGTGCGCGGAGCTTTTCTGTTCCCAAGCCAGCCCTCGGCTTCTCAGATCACTCCATGATACATCTGGTTCCTGCTTACAGACAGAGACTAAAGCTCTCGAAACCTGCAATGAGGAGCTCCAAAGTGTGGTCTGATGAAGCTGTGGAAGAGCTGCGCGCATGCATGGAATCTACAGACTGGGACCTTTTCAGAGCTGCCACAGATAGTTTGGATGAATATACGGACACTGTGACGTCATACATTCACTTCTGTGAGGATAGCATCATTCCAACAAGGACCAGGGTCATCTATAACAACGACAAACCCTGGTTCACTGCTAAACTCCGGCAGCTCAGGAAAGCAAAGGAGTCTGCTTTCAGGGAGGGGGACCGCAGCGGCTACAAAGCAGCTAAATATCAGTTCAGGAGAGAACTGAAAGCAGCCAAGTCCCGGCACAGAGAACGACTACAGGAGCAGTTTGGTAACAACGATACTGCTTCTACGGCCTACGGGAGATCACCAACTACAAGCCCAAAGCCCCCCCCTGTGCTGACGACCACAAGCTAGCTGACGATCTGAACTTATTTTTCAGTCGCTTTGATGCTGCCCCTGACACCTCTCCCTCCCCCACCCCCCACTACTCTAACGACCCACCCATCAGCCCTGCCCCCAGCCTAACAATAGCCGCTAAAGAGATTAAACAACTCTTCCTGAGGCTGCACCCCCGCAAAGCTCCTGGCCCGGACCACGTGTCTCCGGCCACTCTGAGACACTGCGCCAGTGAGCTTACTCCTGTGTTCACGGACATTTTCAACACCTCTCTGCAGTCCTGCCATGTCCCAGCCTGCTTCAAATCCTCCATCATTGTCCCCGTCCCGAAGAAGCCCAGGATCACAGGACTCAATGACTACAGACCTGTAGCACTTACGTCTGTCGTCATGAAGTCATTTGAACGCCTGGTTCTCTCCCATCTCAAGTCCCTCACCTCCCCCCTCCTGGACCCCCTGCAGTTCGCCTACAGAGCCAACAGATCTGTAGACGACGCCATTAACCTGGCCCTCCACCACATCCTACAGCACCTGGACTCCCCGGGGACCTACGCCAGGGTCCTGTTCGTGGACTTCAGCTCTGCCTTCAACACAATCCTGCCATCCCTGCTCCAGGACAAGCTCTCCCAGCTCAACGTGCCCGATTCCACCTGCAGGTGGATCACTGACTTCCTGACGGACAGGAAGCAGCGAGTGCGTCTGGGGAAGAATGTCTCGGACTCTCGGATTATAAATACAGGAGCCCCACAGGGCTGTGTTCTTTCTCCCCTGCTCTTCTCCCTGTACACCAACCACTGCACCTCCAGCCACGACTCCGTGAAGCTGATCAAGTTCGCGGACGACACCACCCTCATTGGACTCATCTCCAACAACGATGAGTCCGCCTACAGGAGGGAGGTGGACCGGCTGGTGTCCTGGTGCAGTGGTAACAACCTGGAGCTGAACGCCCAGAAGACAGTGGAGATGATTGTGGACTTCAGGAAGAGCACTGTCCCCCCACCCCCACCCTCCGTGATGGACTCCCCCATCACCTCTGTGGAGTCCTTCCGTTTCCTGGGCACCACCATCACCCAGGACCTCAAGTGGGAGCCGACCATCAGCTCCCTCATCAAGAAGGCCCAGCAGAGGATGTACTTCCTGCGGCAGCTCAGGAAAGCCAAGCTGCCTGCACAGATGTTGGTGCAGTTCTACACGGCCATCATCGAGTCCATCCTCACCTCCTCCGTCACCGTGTGGTTCGCTGGAGCCACAGTCAGGGACAAACAGAGACTACAGCGCATTGTGCGCTCTGCAGAGGAAGTGATCGGCCGCAGCCTTCCATCGCTGCAGGACCTGTACGTCGCCCGAGCTCGAGGCCGGGCTGGTCGTATCACAGCCGACCCCTCTCACCCTGCACATGGACTATTCCAACCACTCCCCTCAGGCAGGAGACTGCGGTCCATCAGGACTAGAACCTCCCGCCACAAGAACAGTTTCTTCCCCTCTGCTGTTGGACTCTTGAACACTTCTTAACCTGTCCCCCCGCCCTTTATAAAGTCACTTTACTGCCCATCATACGTCACTTTACTTCACTGTACTGCTGTCACCTTACATTGTGTGCACCATGTGCACTTGTATATTGTAAATAGTAACTGTATCTCTATTTAAAATTTAAATTTATTCTTTAGAAGTGTTTTTTATTCTTATTTTTATTATCTTTTTTTGACTGTTGCACTGAGCCAAAGCAATTTCCAAGTCTGTGACCTCCTGTTACTTACGTGGCAATAAAAATGATTCTGATTCTGATTCTGATATTGCACGCCCCACTTTTCAGTTTTATATTTGTTAAAAAAGTTTAAATTATCCAATAAATTTCTTCCCACTTCACGATTGTGTCCCACTTGTTTTTGATTCTTGACAAAAAATTTAATTTTTATATCTTTATGTTTGAAGCATGAAATGTGGCGAAATGTTGAAAGGGGCCGAATACTTTCGCAAGAAACTGTACTGTATGTATACAAACAAATATAAAACATTTGTTGTCATGTCATTTAACATTTACAATGTGTCTTTATTTTTTAGTTTTACATCCGGCAGATCTGAAAATTGGAGCTGTTAGAATTCTTTGTGTCTGTAATAATAAGTCAATAAGTCAATTGATGAGAGGTATTCAACATTTTTCCTGGAAAAGGATAAAAACTAAATGGTGTAATTTTCTTGTTTTCTTAACAACTATACGAATGTAAATTAATCTCCCTCTTTTCTCATGTTTTCTTCCTGTTAAAGAAAGGCATACTTGTAAATGCATTAGACCACTGTTTCCCAACTAGAGGTGCGCAGACATCTACAAGAATGCAAGCATATTACGGGAATTACTTGTAAATGCATTTGTTAACTATTATTAATAGCTCTTAGGCGATAAAGTAGTAGAAATGCTTCATGAGCTTCTGAATCTAGGACACTTTCTTATCTCCCAGAGAGACAGAGTTCCCTCCATATGTGTAAGCGGCCCTTAAACCAATCCAGCAAAATAGCAGGGAGCTTCTCTTGTAAGTGCCCAGGGACAGAAATTGTTGATAAATATCGATGAGTGAGCCAGATATATTTTATTTGCATTCAACTGAAGTTTCACCCCTTGAGAAAATTCTTCCAAATGTACTGCCAATAGTAAACATGTTAATGACTGTAGCTCCAGGAATAATTGTTTTTTCACAAATCTGTCTTTGCAAAGTTACTTTTCATATATGTGTATATATCTATGTACTGTATGTGTATACTATATGTAAAGTTGGCGAGAATGATGATTGTATGAATTACTCTTTCTGATTAAATGAATGAAAAAAGTATGATCACCGACATATATTCAATTCTTTATTAGAAAGGTCCAATTTGAAAACAGATAGATACAGATATACTGACAAATCATCAGCATATCCACGACTTCTTGCAGCTCTACCACACCTTGTACTCACCATCGTTCTTCCCTGTTTCCGTAGGTTTCGATGCATCGTCTACCCCTTCAAGCAGAAGCTGACCATCTCCACGGCGACGCTGATCATCCTCATCATCTGGGTGCTGGCCGTCTCCATCATGTGTCCGTCCGGCATCATGCTGCAAGTGACCAAAGAGCATACCATCCGCGTCCTGCTGGGCTACGACAACAAGACCAGCCCCTTCTACTGGTGCCGCGAGAACTGGCCCAACCAAGAGATGCGCAAAGTCTACACCACGGTCTTATTCGCCAACATCTACCTAGCCCCACTTTCGCTAATCGTCGTCATGTACGCGCGGATCGGCATCACGCTTTTCAAGACTTCGGTGCCCACGGGAGGCAAGCCGGGCCACGATAACCGTCACACCGTGTCCAAGAAGAAGCAGCGCGTCATCAAGATGCTCCTCATCGTCGCGTTGCTTTTCATCGTCTCGTGGCTGCCGCTCTGGACGCTCATGATGCTGAGCGATTACGCCAGCCTCACCGAGCAGCAGTACCGCATCATCAACATATACATTTACCCGTTCGCGCACTGGCTGGCCTTCTTCAACAGTAGCGTCAACCCCATCATCTACGGCTTTTTCAACGAGAATTTTCGCCGAGGTTTTCGGTCGGTGTTTAAGTTTAGCTTGTGCACAGCCAACGGGCAGAGGAGGAAAACATACTCGCACAGGTTGCAAGGGAACTCGGTGCTACCCGCCAACCACGTGCCGACCTCTCTGGAGCCTATTTCGCTCAACAGTCTGGATAATAATAAGGCCAGTTCACGGAGAGTGAGCCATGTGGTGGAGCAGGACTTGGTGATGGAGGACCTTGAGAAGGGCTCGTGCAGCAGTGGAGGCGTGACGGCCGTGTCGATATGAATTTGTGCATACCGGGGTGACGGGGGAATTTGCATTTCAGGAAATTGCCTTTGTCATACGTAATTAACTAAGTTGTCTGCCATCGGCATAAGTAGATGGAACAACTTGTCCGAACAGTGTTTTTGAATATGACTCTCATTGTAAGGGCAAAGTGAAAAGATTAACCTAACCCAATTTTTACCGTATGTTATGCAGGTCTATTCAATTCTGGGTTCAAAGCACATTTCTGATGTTAGAGATACATCACAATTTGGTCTTTTGAATGTTTAGTTACTTGGAAAGTTCAGAATAATATCCCCAATATCAGCCAATCAATAGACCCTTTAAACAACTGATATGGCCTCTAAAAATAATTCATTCCTAATTCATTTTTTTGTCTATTGCAGGCCTTTTCAATTCCAGATCCAATGACAATTACACCTACTTTTGGTTTAAACCTGATTAAAAGTCATACTTGTGTTGGTTTATAGGGTTAGGGTTATCATATCCCCCAAATCAGCCAATAAAACATTGAATTAATTCTACGACAGGCCCTTCGAACAATCTGGTCTGCCCTCCCAAAACACACATTTATTTTCTCTTGTTTACTGGCTTTGTCCTCGTTTTAGGAATAGCTTCAGTGTTAATAAAGACGGTTAACAATTTTTGTTCTCTCTGCTCCAAACAAATCAGTTTAAAACAAGTCATAATGTGCATTTAAGGCAGAATGGCCGTCTGAATTGTTGAATCGCTCTGATCTACAGTGAAGTGGAAGGCATTTCAAGGTCCAAAAACAATCCACTATAGCCAGAAATATTAAACAAATCAATTCAAATGTTGACTCTTTTGAATGGGGATTGGTCCTCAAGGTTCTGCAAATCAAGAACGAATCTCAGCGTCCATCCGTCCATTTTCTTTATTATAAACTTTTAAACCCTGACTTCACGTCCTCAGTATCTTACAAATTGCACTTTATTTTTGACTTTATGTCTTGACCTGTCATCAAAAAATTCCAGCCAAAGTCATTTTACTTTTAATAGGTTGCGTTTTTCATGTTGTAGAATTCTATTTAGGTTGTAGGGCAGTGATTTTTGTAGTGATTGGATTCACAAACTCGCCAGATTCTCGCAAGTGATACATTTTTGTTTCATGTAGATTGACCCGGGGATTACAGAGAAATTAGCTCCAAACTAATAGAAATCTGACTTTTGCCGGTAAACATACCAGGAAAATCTTTCAGCTGTCCTCGACCACAATATTATACTGCAGGCTCTTTGGAATGTCATAATGTCACATGAAACTATGGGATACAAAACATATATGGATTACAAACTCATCTCTGTGACCGCACAAACGCCAATGTAATGGGAGCAGAGAAAGCCCCCTCCTCTCCAGAGTTTCCTCGCTCCCGTGTCTGTGTGGAGTGAGAGACAAATGTCCACATTGTAAACCGCGGTATATAAATAAACATTACTTACTTAGTTTCACTTTCCCCTTTCGATTTATCTCCAAACGCTAAATTCAAGTCAATCAGTTCCTTTCCTCTTCCAACAGCCTCAGTTGTAACTCTAGTTTTGCCAGTCACATGTTGGTAAAAACATCTAATCAAAACACAGCGCGGGTACTTCAGAGCTGTGCAGTCAGTGTGGCGGTGCTTTTGATTGAAGTGTGTCAATTTCCATACCGTCGCACGCCGCGATTCCGATGTGTTGGACCAACTCATCATCGCGCTCAATGGAAAAAACATGAAGTTTTGTGTGGATGGGAGTATGTGCGAACATAGATACGGAGGCAAAGATATTTGTTGATGAAAATACCCGACTACATAGCCTTAAATCAACTCAATTCAATTCATTTTTGTATTGCCCGAAATCCCAACACAAGCCATTCGTCCACAGGAAGTGAGATGACCGATGTCCATACATGTCCTGGATCATCACTGTCTATAGGAACAAGGAACAACTTGAAAACCCAGTGGGAAAAATTGAGAAAACGTTGGGGAGAGTGGGATCTGCTTCCACACACAGACGGCCATAGATCCAGGACTCAAGCTGTTGAATGAGAAAACGGAGGCTACAAAAACAAAAAAACACACCATGACATGTTTATTTCAAGACCTGTACGACATATTTTTTTACAGAACAAAAATAATAGAATAACAAAGTTTTGGGGGTTGGTTGAAGCAAGAGATAGCATTCTGAACTTTCCTAACAAGCATAAGTCGATGTTCAACTACTTCAGTCATGTCCTAGTTATAGACTCTATGCTCCAGCTTTGTGTCTTAGCGCTAGCACTCTCTGTTCCCTTTCTGTTCGGCTCCTTGGGGCTGATGAGAGCTGGATGAATAAGCTGCAAAAACGTAAAGAGGTCCTGAAAACAGCAGGTGTGAAACTTTGTTATAGCAAGAAACAGAACAAGTGGGAAACAGGAAGTTGTCGAGCTGAGACACAAACCAGGAAGTGGGTGGGACCCTTGCAAACGGAGCTTAATGATTCACTGACGCAAAATGCAAAGAAATGTGTTACATATTGGTGGCATTGAAACAAATCTGGCCATTGTTGAATAGGCCTGCATATTGTCCTCCCAACCTGAAGTTTGGGTCCAAGAACAACACTAAAACATGATACAAAGTGAAAATGTGGTGAAAACACGGGTAATTTCACTTGATAAAAATGATAAAATATGAGGTAATAATTGCTTGAATCGGGTGTTTTTTTAATCTTGATTTGAATACACACTGACTGTCTTAAAACAAGATTTTCCAATAGGACAAAGTCATTTATAGTCTGATTTTAGACTATAAATATAAATACTATTGTTCAACTGTTTCTGTTTTTTCTCATTCCAAGGGAGACATTTTTTGTATCTTTTTTAAAACAATATAATTTTGCTTGTCCAATCAGCAAATCATGTTATACAACAGTCAGAATGTCGTCAATATAATATACATTTAGCCAAATTTGAGCAATTCTTTACTTATTATTCATCACTTTTTGCTGTGTGTCTTTACCTTACTCTTGAAACTGCCAAACTTGCCCTGAAACTTTTGACGCCATTTACATATATATAACCATGAGTCGAAAAACAGACTCGCTTGTTCTTGAATGTAACCGTAAAGCAAATCTCCACATTGTGATTTTTTTGTGACATGACACCGATGGGAGACCGTTTTTTGGTTTCTTTAGGTGTCTTCTGCTATGTTTGTTTGTGATGCGTTGGCTGTTTGTTTGCTTGTTGAGAATGAATACATAACAGGGTCTTTACTACAGGGAAAATATGGTCAAAAGCACATGGTTTCTTTGCCTTTCTAAATGTAAATAAGCTGGAGTCACTCACCACACTTTACCGCGGGCACAGACTCTACAGTTTGGGAACAGGAACAATGCCTTCCAAATATTCAAGACGTTTTTTTTGTGTAAGATAGATGTAAGATAAAAGTACAATATATAGAATTTAATATATAAAGACTTGGAAGAATAAGGCTGGCCTCCGTTAAAAACATTTTTTTTACCATTTCCAGCGTCTGTCCTTGAATAAAGGCGATATATAGATATGAAAATAATGCATAAACATCTAGCGTTAACTTTGTTGCGTCTGTTCTGGTTAAACGTATCAAAATTTGCAGGTGGAGAGACGTTTTTTTTTTTCAAATGCTAGCAACAGTTAGACCCGCCCCCACAGCTTCCTGATTGGACGCAATTAATTTCAGACTGAGAGCTGAGGCCCCTCCCCATTGGTTCAACTCGTCTCAAATCCTACTAGTGATGCATATTCAAATGTGATTGTATGAATTATGAGTATTATGAATATTACTGGATTTAAAGGAGCAGTTTGTAAAAATTGGGCCAAAAGAGGTACTGCACTCTCCCTGACTCAGGTTGCCAGATATGCAGACAAAGCCAGCTGGGACCATAACATCTGAATAGACAAGAGTTTTGTCAAGAGCAAATCTATAACTAACACCTTTTTCACATAGGACCAGATGGAAAATGTGAGATTAGCTGGACGCGGTGAGTTCTGGCAACCCGGATCACAGACTTTCTGATTGGTAACGGTGCAGGGCAGGACATCAAAATTAAAACAATAGTTTGAAGTATTGGAAAAGAGCATGGTTTATTAATACCTTTTGACATCTTAGGGCCATTTAATTATGACCTGACATAAAAATCTTACATATTGCTGCTTTAAATTATGGTCAATGGGTCAAAAATAATGAAACAATCAAAATGAAACTCATTTGAAGATGCAGACATTTTTAAAAGGGGTTGACAGTGACAGCAGAGGACGTGGCTGACAACATTTTGAAACTTGCACAAGTCACAAGAGGATTCCACCTTTGACATTACCCTTTGTGGACAAAAAATATCCATGAGACATCAGGCAGACGCAGAAAAAGAGCAGTCTAAGAGCAAAAGCAGGTCATGCATTCACCGCTACATCCGTTTTTATAACTCAGCCGACCTTTAGGACTAACCCATGTAACCTACAATAAAAGTATTGAGATTCTTAGTTCAAAAAGCTTCAGAAACCTTTTGAGCCTTTTTGCTCTCTAACCAGCGGTGGATCTGCCTCGAGATGCTGCACTTTCTCCGGTCCGTTTTAACCGTGCTCAGAATGCGATTTACACAGTGTTACATAAACGTTGCACCGACGGCTCCAGAGTTTATGTGAGGACGATTAGCTGACGGCTTCCGATAAAAAGCCTGATTGTCCATAGTCTCTGATGTACGCCGGAGCGAGTTATGCGCCATAAAAAACCCTTTGAACAATGATGGATCAATCTGGAAAGGATTAGGAAATAATGTCCGGAAAGTGCTGATGAATAGTGATAGAATTTGTGGAAAAAAAGCTAATTAGTGTGACTTAAATGAGACATTGTGAGGAGTTCAAGTGAATGTTAGTTACTTTGTGAAGAGAGTGAAAGAAAAGGGAGGGTCAGCCCCCCCAGCCCCACCCCTGCAGCTTCCTGATTGGTTGAAATGAATTCAAATCCTTGAGGCCTCTCGTCATTGGGTTATCTG